AGGTTTAGGGTTTAGAGCCGCGGGGGGGTTTAGGGCGCTCGGAGGTGGTGGGGTCATAGGAATGGTGCAGCTATTAATCTGGGTTCAACTGCTGACAGGCGAGGGGACGCGTGGGGGGTAGGGAGGGGAGCGGGTGTTGGGAGACGCCTTGGCATGTGTATGGAGTCCTGTGACCACGCGCATACATACATACATATATACATACATACATAAATACATACATACACGTTTGGGTGAGGTCGTTCGTGCACCATCCGCGGGGCTGCTTCCTTAGCGCGGTTAAGTTCTCCAGGGCCACTATTACCGGGTGGCTGGGTGAGGGTGCAGAAGCGTGGCCCATGTACATGATATTTATTACGACATGTTATCTCTGGAGCACGACACTTTGTGTGTTTCCTTCCCCCTGGTGTTTCCTGCCGTACCCCCGTGTCATGACTCACCACTCGTTTCTCTTCACGTGTTTGTTGCAACCCACCTGCCCCCTCCCTCCCACAACCCGCAGGTGCCGCTGATGAACATTAAGTCGTGTACGGAGGAGTTCCTGGCATCCAGTGGCCTGGACTACACCACGTTCCGGTTGTGTGGGTTTCATCAGGTAGCGGGGAGGGGAGGGATGGGGAGGGAAGGGGAGGGGAGGGGAGAGAGCCGTACATGCTACTAACCGAAGATCAACCGCCGCAAACTGTTTCTGGAGTCCCCGACGCAATGAGTCAGCTGCGGGTTATTTTACAGAAGCTCTCAGCCTGATACCCATAACATTTAGTTTATATTGCCAACGAGGGGAAGGCGGAAAGGGGAGACATGCCGACGCCCAGCCGGGAATGGAGGTAAGATGGGGGCGAGGGTCGGGGCTCTTATGTGTTTTACATGGGGCATCAAAACGCTGTCGTACTCCGATATGGCTATCGGAGTACGGCAGATTTGTTTGATGTAGGCAGGTAGTGGTGGGCCACATCTGTGCCACGGTTGTGTGTTTCGTTGTGGAATCGTTACCCGTTGCCCTCTTTCTTGTTCCTGATGCTATGGAGGGTGGCTGGGGCTGGTTGGTCCGTCATTGACGTGCCTGCCCTAATTGTCATGTTCCCATCCATGTGCTGCACGTGCAGCAGGCCTCGGAAGATGGGGCCGACGCCCAGCCGGGAATGGAGGTAAGATGGGGGGGAGGGTCGGGGCTCTTATGTGTTTTACATGGGGCATCAAAACGCTGTCGTACTCCGATATGGCTATCGGAGTACGGCAGATTTGTATGATGTAGGCAGGTAGTGGTGGGCCACATCTGTGCCACGGTTGTGTGTTTCGTTGTGGAATCTTTAGCCATGTCATGATGATAACACTACATGCTAGGAAGTGTGGCTGGGGCTGGTTGGAGGAGTTGGGTGTGTATGTGTCAGCACTGTCTTTGCAGTGCCTGCTTTAATTCTCATGCTCTCATACATGTGCAGCAAGTGCAGCCAACCTCCGATTGTGGGGCTGCAGCCGAAGTTTTAATTTAGGAGGGTGGTGACAGGGAGGGGGAATGGGTTTCACTCAGGGAGTGAGATGGAAGGGAGGGTTGGGGCTCCAGGTGTTGTATCCTGTTAAGCTTACTGTTAAGCTCTAGGCTCTGTTGTCTTACTGTCAGATGCCGGTCTGTCCACCCTACTGCCGCACTGCTGCAGAAGTCCATACTGGCGTCTGGGCAGGGGCTTCACCTGTCTAAAGCTGGAACCTGCCTTCCTGGATGTCTGCTTCATGAGGCCAGAGTAGTTCCTGCGAACTATGGTCAACATCACACCACCCAGCCATACTGGAACTTATTGGCATGAGGCCCAAGTGGATTCTAGAATGATTATTATTCAATCCACTTGCTTCAACCGGTATCTTTCGATACCACCATTTCATGGTTGTGTCACCCCCAAACCCCCAGGCCCCCCGGCTCCCAGGCCCCCGGCTCCCAGGCTTCCAGGCCCCCGGCTCCCAGGCCCCCAGGCTCCCAGGCCCCCAGGCCCCCAGGTTCCCAAGCTCCCAGGCTCCCAGGCTTCTAGGCTCCCTGGCTGCCAGGCCCCCAGCTCCCAGGCCCCCAGGACCCCAGGCTCCCAGCCTCCCAGGCCCCCAGGCTCCCAAGCTCCCAGGCCCCCAGGCTCCCAGGCCCCCAGGCTCGCAAGCTCCCAGGCCCCCAGACTCCCAAGCTCCCAGGCCCCCAGGCTCCCGGGTCCCCAGGCTCCCAGGCCCCCAGGCTCCCAGGCCCCCAGGCTCCCAAGCTCCCAGGCTCCCAGGCTCCCAGGCCCCCAGGCCCCCAGGCTCCCAGGTTCCCAGGCTCCCAGGCCCCCAGGCTCCCAAGCTCCCAGGCCCCCCGGCTCCCAGGCCCCCGGCTCCCAGGCCCCCAGGCTTCCAGGCCCCCGGCTCCCAGGCCCCCAGGCTCCCAGGCTCCCAAGCT